CGTGAAGATTGCATAAGCTACTGTTATTTTTCCCCCCAAATAAAGAAAGTGCGCTAAAGTAGATACAGGCCTAGCAGAAGCTTCTTACGAAATGTTCGAAACTTCTGTTATGCGTATTATGCGGGATTCGAATTCAGGAAACTTTACGTCATGTCATAAGTACAGGCAGGAGGAAGCGAAGACTAGCCACCCCCCGAAGGATTTGTGGAAAAAAAACTGAAAAAGAGGGATATGTAGCGACATTAAAGTACTTTCAAACAGTTCTTCTATCTTAAACGCAAAAAAGACCAGCAAAAACCGTCTGGTTTACTGAGTTTCTGTACTTTGTCCATCAAATAATATTCTAAAAAAGAACGGAACGTTTCAGAGACTGGATCTGTTTCCTTCCTCAGATGAAATGACGGGAAGCACCTACTCATTTGCAACCAATCGAAATAATTAATTTCACTTATGCCTTAAGAGGTTTAAATGTAAGTTTTAAACAAGATATGGACATCTGAATTGTGACTCTTAAATTATTTTCTTTATATAAGAACATACCTTGATGTTGATTTTTATTTAAAATTTTGCGATTATTTGAGATTTGTAAAATATGGTCGTTTCTTTTTTACAAAAAATAATACTTTTCCGCGTGCTGTAGACCTACATGTACTTCCTTTAACTTCATTATGGTTTCTTTATGGCGCATATTTAAAAAAAAAACTATGTCAAAAGTAAAGCTATCCCTGTAACAGGCCGTGGAGGCCCATAGGGCTGTAAGACGTCGAGGCTCCCACATTCTCTAGACAATCGGCTCACAGACGGCGGTGAGGTTGTCAGCCTTACGCGCAGACCGACCTTTACCCCCAGAAAGATTCCTGATACTCTTTTCTGTTAGAGGCTGAGTCGACCCCAGGGCCATAGTGCTGCTGGAAGATCAGGTTAATTGAAAAATCCAATGATCTCATCGGGAATCGAACCCGCCATCTCCCGGCCATTAACATAGCGTGTCTCAACCAATTACGCCACCTCAGGCACCCAATTCTATGTTACATATTCGAAATAAGGAACCGCTACTATCCAAAACTGGGGTGACATTTTCGCGTACCCTTCTTGTACAGCTTTTAGCCTCTTACTCAGTTTTGCATTTGAGATCATAATAAGTAGTAATTCTCATACTAGACATATTAAGCTACCTGAATGCAACAGTGTACTAATGGTTCACGATGCTATCAACAAAAACTTGGCGTCTACCTTAAATATTCGAAACATGGTATCTTTATATTATCTGTGTGATTCGTAGGATTCTACGAATAAATCCATGAACAACATTCCCGGTTTCTCTTAGTAACTGAGTTACAATTTGTTTGCTCAAGCGGTTAGCCGCTGGCTTCCCACTGCGGTGGGTTCGAGCACCGGTCTGGTCAAGTGGGATTTGTGGTGGACAAAGTGGCGCTGGGGCGGGTTTTCTTCGAGTACTTCGGTTTTCCCTGCCAATCTTCATTCAACAAAATTCTCCATCATCATAATCACGAGGGGCAGTTACAATAGGCCAATCAGTGGCCGCCATGGACCCAGCTGGACTCCACCCCCCACTAAGCGAATTTTAATTTTAATTTACAGTACGTTTAATATGAGGTAAAACTTTAGTTTTTATCCATTATTAAGGGAAATTTCCATCCCTTTTCAAATAAATGCTGAGATTAATTAAATTCATCAAAATTAAATCACTCGCTACTAAGACCATAAAATTTTCTTTCTAAATTACGCAACTGGCAACTAATCAGAACACTCAAATTCCGCTGTCCTTGCCTACAACGATTCAAAGACCTTACTATATAATGTAAATTAAAACCTTCCCTTGAAGATCCAGGTTAGTCAGCACTCCCTCAGACCCTGAACTACTTACATGCAAAAATCCGACATACGAAGATTCAGTTCGGTATGCCCCAGAATTTTAGTTTTATGTTTCGCTGTGAAGGATTAGCGTGTTCTCTTCGAAGGAAAAAGGCTTATAACGCTTATTACTTTGGTCCATCTGTCTGTCTCCTTATTAAGCTTCTTGATTCGAAATAATTAGTTCGATGTTGAAATCATGCAGTCTAAGTGACTCTTATGTGTAAGATCTAGAAAAACCGAAGTGAACGGAGAAGTTCATGGAGGTAGGCATAGGCCCACTGGGGCTGTAGTGCCAAGGAAAAAATAACTGACTCTTCGCCATTATTATTATTATTATTATTATTATTATTATTATTATTATTGGAGGGGGTGGGTTCCCCATTGCACCGCGACTAATAGTCTATTGTACGTTCCNCCACGGCTTAAAGTCCCTCCCGGAGGACTTGTTCCCTGAATTTTTCCGCCCTTAAAAATTCCACGACCTCCGCCGGGTTTGAACCCGCGTACCTTGAGTCATGAGGTGGGAACGTTACCCCTAGACTACAGAGGCCGCTGACTCTTCGCCATACTTAAGCCTCTATTGTTTCCAGCCCTTATTAAGGCCTCAATTACAAACATAAATAGTGGTCGATTTCCATGAAACTTCGTGTGATAAACGCGCCTACATGTGCCTTACAGCTCTCTAATCGTGATATCTTTCATGTTCTGTATATAAAATGATCAAATGAACACGTAATGTGGAGTCGAATCTGCCCGTTGGTTTCGTCACCGCAGCTACTTCAATATATTGTTGCATATGGGATTCTCGCAGGGGTAACTGAGGAGTACGGTTTTCCGGGTTTTAGCGCTGCGTAATTCTGGAAAAGCCGACGTTTAGGACGTCGCCTCCACGTTCAGGCTGGCAGAATATGCCAGACAATAAAGCAAGAAGAAGCAAGAGGAAAGTAGAGCTCTTGAACAACGAAATGAAAAAAAAAAATACTAACACCAAATATTAAAATGTTCTTTTTAGTTCTTCTGTCCTGAATATTACAGGGCGCTCAGTAAAAAGAGTAAAGAGTAAGATCTCTGTGACGTAACGCCGTGTAGTTCGATAGAAGTGCACCAAGGTTTCGGAGAAAAGTATCGCCTGTGTCTTCAGGGTTGAGGAGAAAATCAAGCAAGAATACTGCAGTAAACAGGCGGCAAGCTTTTGTAAGCAATTTTTATGGATCTTCGCCGATGCACTGTAAAACTGGCTGTACCCTTCGGAAAGTTTCCTGACGGCGCTAATAAGTCAATAGCAACTTCTCGGCAGACAGTCCAAGATTTAAAAAGCGTAAAGTGATCACAGGAACACAGACTGAAGGTGTTTGAGAACAGGGTGCTGAGGAGAATATTGGACCGAAGAGAGATGAAGTGACAGGAGGTTGGAGAAAACTGCATAATGAGGAGCTTCATAACTTGTACTCTTCTCCAAGTATAATTAGAATTATCAAGTCAAGGAGGATGAGGTGGGCATGGCATGTAGCACGAATGGAGGAGAAAAGGAATGCATGTAGGATTTTGATGGGAAAGCCCCAAGTAAAGGGAACACTAGAAAGACAGACGTAGTTGCGAAGATAATATTAAATTGGACCTCAGGGAAATAGGATGGAGTTCTATGGATGAGATTCATCTGTTTCAAGATAGGGACCAATGGATGGCTCTTGTGAACAAGGAAATAAACCTTCGGGTTTCATAAAATGTTAGAAAATTCCTGAACCGCTGATCAACTGGCAGCTCCTCAAGATGGACTCAGCTCCAAGGAGTTTTTTTTTGTTAATGCTAGTGGGGTGGGACTAAGTCCCTTGTACTGCGGCCACTTCTGGCCTATTGTACCAGCCCCAGATGATAGGTGAGGGTGATTGTGGAGCAATTGGCGGAATGAAGATTGGCAGGGTAAACTGAAGTACTCGGAGGAAACCTGCCCCAGCGCCTATTTGTCCACCACAAATCCCACTTGACCAGACCCGGGATCGAACCCGGGCCGCCGCGGTGGGAAGCCAGCGACTAACCGCTTGAGCTATGGCGCGGCCTTAGTTAGTTAGTTAGTTAGTTAGTTAGTTAGTTTCTTATTTAGTTAGTCAGCCACTGAGTCAATCAATCAGTCAGTCAGTCATTCATTGAGTCAATCAACAAGCCAGCCAACCAGCCAATCAGTCAGTCAGTTAAGTTTATCACAGTTCACTCTTCATGTTCTGAATCCAGGTGACAGTGTTTCAGGTGAAGTCAAACTCTATGGACGTTCTTGACAGTTTGTAGGTTAGGACACTCTTGCCCCAGTATTACATGTGAGCATTAGTGAAGACTCTATTAGGCCACAAACCACTCCTACCTCTAAATGATACATTAAGTTTCTGGCCAATGAAAATTACTTTTAGGGGTGGAGGTAAGATGGTATTGGAGAGGGGAGAAGCCAATAGGAAACCGACCTCGTTTGTGATGCTAACTCTGTGATAAATATTCAATGCTTGTCAAATGTTTTACACACGTCTGGACTACTGCGTTTATTGGCAGGCTTTTGTTTTTACTTCGCCCTTTCGTAAAGAGAAGCAGGGTGCGGCGCTGCGGAAGTGTTGTGCTCGTTGTGTTGTGCTTGTGTATCTGTTGTAACGTCTGAAATCCAAGGATTAATGTAAATAATTCCACGCTGTTTTACTTCATCATAAATTGAGTTTGGGCACAGCTCAAGAAGTCATCAATAACATTCCATTTTCATTGACTCTGATTTTATTACATTACCTAGGGAAATTACAAATTCTCCTCGTGGTTTAACGACAATTTATTATAATACAAACTTGGATCTATTTAGATATATTCATCAAATTAAAAACAGAAACAAACCAAACTTACAAAAGGTTTCACCTTATGATGATATTTTTAGGCCTATTAAGAAGATACGCATAAAAGTGGGCCTGTTTCATGGTGGTTAATATTACTGAGTACATAATCCATTGAATGGCTTGTGTATATCTGTCAACAACGAATAGGGGAATGCTAAAATCCTGGAGATTTTTTGACAAACAATAAGTACAGTGAAGATGACGTCATATAAATGATAACACTTGAACTGCGGTACTGTCATGACAACGGAGAGCGAGATGTGTGAGTTAAGCAGGCGAGCAAGAGCGTTCTCAGTTGAAGCTCTCATTGGAGTTAAACGTCAAAGAATTGAAGAAACAGGTAAGAACAAATAATTTAAATTTTAACCTACAAGGAAGATATTAGTAAGAAGAGATTCATCTTCTGGGATCTGAAACCGTCCTGCCTCCACAGCTGTTGTTTGATTCTTGTTTATGAGCTTACTTTTTAGTCCTGATGATGGAGGTAGTATGTTCCTTCGAAACGCCGGTGAACGTCTACCCAACGACAGAGAGTTACAACCCCGAAAATGTCAGTTTTCATGGTCAGTGTCGCGAGAAACTCACATACAACAAAATATCACTAAATTCAATCTTGTCAGACCTGGGTTTGAGTACTGATATGTACACGTATTCTGGAAATATGTGTATTTTAAGTTGTTTCGCTTTTGTATATTCTGTGGTGAGCGAAATTCAACATCAGATAACTTATGCAGCTGAATAAATGTCGTTAAATAAGATGTAAAATAAAACTGGGGCATTGCTGCCGAAGCTACCGGGCAAAATATGTTCTGTCCTGTGAGACGGTCTCACGAGATATACAAGCACGCTGTAGTTTCGTGTTAAATTCAGTGGTATGCGTATGAGATGGGCAGTGAAGCCTTGAAATTTATTAACAGAAGAAAATAACCGGCGTTCCAGAAATTACCAAGTAGTTTATCACTGGTAGTATAGTCACTATTTTGGGGCAAGCTGTAACGTAATTGATTGAGGCACTATGCTACAAGCCGAAACATCGCGGGATTGAATCCCGATAAGGTAGATTCTTTTCAATTGACTTAATCCTTCGAGCCGTACTACGGTCCTGGGGTCTACTCTGCCTCTAACAGAAATGAGTACCAGGAATCTTCCTGGGCGGAAAAAAAAGACTACCGGCGTGTAATGCTGACAACCTCACCGCCATCTGTGAGCCGATTGTCTAGGTAATGTGGGAGCCTCGACGTCTCACAACCCTATGGGCCTTCACGGCCTGTTACAGGGATAGTTTCACCTTTCTTTAGTAGTCACTATTACATTCAATGCATATTGTAAAAGCTTCTTGAGGAACAATGAAGCCATCAACTGATCAGAGGGCGTTGTTCAGCTTTTGTTCTGATCATCTGTACATTGTTTATCTAACAAGATTAAAATATAATAAGCCAGTTATAGACAATAACATCAACAAGTTGTTTGAACAACGCAAATAGCGTACTATTACAAAGGACGAGCTCCAGAAAACACTCCACGATATACTTTGCAGAAATGGGTATACATGATGTGCAGTCTGTTGTCTGATATATTGTTAATCTTTAGGAGCCGGGCTAGCTCAGTCAGTATAGCTACGGGCTACATGCTGGACGGTCGGGGTTCGATTCCTGGCAGAGACAAGATTTTTCTCTACTCAACAGCGTCCAGACCGGCTCTGGGGCCACTTAGCCTCCTCTCCAGTGGGTACCGGAAGGCTCTGTCTCCGAGGGTAAAGCGGCTTGGGCGTGAAGCTGACCTAAAATTTCACTTAGACCTCCAGAAGATCCTTAAAAACAAATGATTTTCTTTTTCATATGGGACTTAATAGTGCCTAATGTTATTCTGCCTTGGGTTTATAATGTAGTCCAGGTTTAACCTGCAAGGCAATAAACAGTAAGTAGGTATAATCTATGTCAGCACTCTTTCACTGTATGCTTTGGCATTTATCTTAGCTATTTACACCTCTCTGATATCGACATGTGTTATCGAAGTGCTCCTCTGTGAGTTAGACCCAGAGCATTAGCGTATGTGTATGTCGCTCATGGGACCAGTATTCACATGCTACACACTGCTGTGTGTCTGCAGGGGCTATTTGTTGTCCTGTTGCCTACTGGCGTGGGTCATCTGTAGGTAATGCTTTGATATAAATATAGTATTTTGTTCATGAAATTGGCCTATATAGCAGCCCAGGTAGCGTAGTCGGTATAGTGACTGGCTACGGACTGGACAGCAGAGAGGTCGGAGTTCGAGTCCCGATAGGATCAAGAATTTTCTCTTCTCGAAGTCGTCCAAACCGGCTCTGGGATCCACCCAACCTCCTAACAAATGGGTACCGGGGAAGTTTTCCCCGGTGGTAAAGCGACCGGAGCGTGAAGCTGACCACTCATCTCCGACTAGTTCCGAGGTGAACGATACATGGATCTATACATCCACTCCTCCATACATCTTCATGGAGTTGTGCTTAATTAGTTAAGCACAGGGACAACTTTACCTTTAATTGGCCTATATCGCAAATATTTTTTGAAGTAGATAAATCTATTCACTGAGTATGTCAGAAGATTTATAAATCATAAAACACTTCTTCAGATATGGTAGTAACTTTTACCATATATTGGCAGCGTTTAGTCGCTGGCTTCCCACTGTGACGGCCCGGGTTCGAGCCCGGGTCTGGTTATGTGGGATTTGTGGTGAACAAAGTGGCGCTGGGGCAGGTTTACTTCGAGTACTTCGGTTTCCCCTGCCAATCTTCATTCCACCAAATTCTCCATCATCATAATCACCCAGGGCAGATACAATAGGCCATTCAGTGAGCCCAGTTGGGCTCCACCTCCCCACTATGCGAATTCAAAAAAATTGTTACCATATATTGAAACTTGAAATACAGTGAACTTCCACTTTGATACACAAACCGACTTACGAAACAATAAAAAAAATGCCTGCTTATCAGCAGTTGGCACTTCCCGCGGATTATCGTTTGTTCGCCGTGATTGCGGCACCTTTCCTCTCTCTTTTCAAACATCTGTCTCATCATTAACGTGAGCTATTATTATGTTGCGTGAAATCCAACAAATGCGCCACAAGTAAATTTCCTCTTATTTTTAAATTCATCACAAAACATGAAGGCACGTGGTAGCGTAAATGGTTGAGGCATTATGCTATAAGTCGGAAGGTCGCGGGTTCGATTCCCAATGAGATAATTAGATTTTTCAATCGACCTAATCTTTCCAGCCGCACTATGGCCCTGAGGTCGACTCGGCCTCTAACAAAAATGAGTATCAGAAATCTTCTTGGGGAGTAAAGGGCGGCCGGAGCGTAAGGCTGACAACCTTACCGCCATCTGTGAGCCGACTGTCTAGAAAATGTAGGAGCCTCGACGTCTCACAACCCTATGGGCCTCCATGGCCTGTTACAGAGATATCTTTACTTTTTTTTTTTACCTTTTTACCAAAAGCGTGATTTACTAAGAGGTTTCTTAACCTGCATCAGGTTACTGCCATCGTTAAGTATTCTACGAATACTTTCGCTAACATTGCCCTTAAAGACAAAGAGAGACAGGCATGTAATATGGCCTAATTTTGTTTTTTGTTCTTGTTACATTAAATAATTCCTTGTTCTGAATCATGTTACAGCCGAATCATTCTACAAACGCGCTTCCCAAGACATTTATGTCCTTGTTATCGTTACAGATATCCGGCAGAAGATAAATGACGTAGAAATTAAAAACCCTTACAATAAGGCTCACCAAACAGCAACAACATCCAAAAATAATGCACCTGAGGTTGACAGCGCGGGAGCAAAGAAGCTGAACACTGTAACTGAAGGAGACACATTGGAGTTACAGCGGCGTCACAGGCTGAAGAAGAACCTGAAGGTGGAACTGTGTTCCAGGGAACTCTGGCGAAAGTTCCATGCTCTAGGTACAGAGATGATTATTACGAAAGCTGGGAGGTAAGTGAGATAATGGATAACCAACCGAGAGTAGGTTCATATGCTTTTCATGTAGGAGTTAGCCCAGTAGACTACGTAGCAGCTTTAATTAATTAAGGTACTGTGATATGACGCCTGAAAGCCGGAACAGCAGAACTAGAGTAGACTTCATTGCTAGGCAACGACTTCGTAATCAGCTTCCCGGGGAAATGAACATTCACGCAACAATAGAAGAAGTACCGTTTCCATACAACGACGAGGTAATAACGCCTCTATAACAACAGAGGAAATGTTAGGAAACAGGATTCTCTGTTGAGACCATACAACGAGGATCTCAGGCAGCTGTAATAGAACCGATGGAGTCTTTAGCCGCCAGCCTGCTGAGATGTTGTGTCATACAGTTGTTCGTGAAGTATATTGACAAGTTGTACGTATAAGTGTGCAATAAATCCGGTCATCAATGCAAACCCCCTTCTGTAAGTCACGCACACCCCCATGTACGCAACATATGACTCCCAAAGGACGTGAGAAAGGTGCACACAAAACTTCTGGGCAGTGCAATAAAGCAGACAGATCCAGCGAGGCACACAAACTGAGAATATGACTTCAGTTTAGTAGGAAGGGGTACAGTGGGCGATATTGACTGAGGCTGTTGAGGATTCTCATTTTCACTGAGTAAAATCCCGCATTTTGTATCGGTTTAATATTTTATTTCAGTACTTCAACGGTAATAATTTTCATTCTTTTAAATATCTTTTTCTTTGTGCAGCCTCGCAAGGTCAGCAGGTAAGGCTGTGTTTACTGCCAAATCATGGCTTCACGACACTTATTTCCCACAGACTACAGCCCAATCTGCATTTTCGTGCCGCTTCTTGGGACTACACAAAAGCAGCCAGTGTTGGGCGCGTAGGTTAGCCACTGAGTTATGGGGGAGTTCAATACAATTCGCATCTGTTTTTACTTTCACCTTATTTCTCTTACTCAAACTGGGCCATTTTTAGCTCAATTTCGTAAAATAGGCTTATGTTATCTCCATGCTGCCTGTGTGTCTGTGTATCCCCGCCCATTAGTTTCCAATTCTTTAACCAGTCTTTATGAAACTTGATATGTATTTCATGGCACCCGGCGTATTTGATAAATCTCTCCCATCAGTCTCTGTGTATGTGAATCCATTCTATCGTTGCTAGGCAACTGCTTGGTAGAGGCGTTACCGCAGCAAAAAATACACACGCAACAATAGAAAAATCCTTGGATATGCGGTTCATGTCATATCATAGGAAAGTAGGAAATTGGTTCTTTCCAGAAGCTCTTGTTATATTTACGCTGGCGTGTCCGGTCTCATCAAGAGCTTTGGGTCCCCTGTTGCGCCTGGAGAATGGGAACGTTGAAGAGAATTACGAAAGTGCAGTCAGCTTGTCCGCTCGGAAATGCACAGTGCTACAGGCCTTAAGTTTCCCATCTGTTCCCCCGAAACTCCCTTTATGGAATTAAAATAAAACTGAAGCCTCTCACGTAAAACAAATATGACGCTCAAGTAGCTAACCTTTCTTGCACCGAAAGTCGGCATTTTCTTAACACCCGAATCAAAAGCAAGAACAAAGCTAACAAAATTATATAAGATTTTAACTTTTCACGTCGGCGAAAATTTGGGCTGTAATCATTTGTGTTGTAACACAGTGTATGATGTGTTTTCTTAGTTCAATTCACTTAAAAAACAGTAACGAAATGTAATAATTTGCCGGTCACGGTAGCCGAGCGATCTAAGGCATGTACTGTCTTCGCTCGCTTGGAAACCAGGATCGTGGGTTCGAATCCCACTCAGGGCATGGATGTTTAGTTTGTGTGTGTGCGTTTTTCTATGTTTGTGTACAGGTAGAGGCCTTGCGACGAGCTGATCGCCCGCCCAAGGAGTCCTACCGAATGTGTAAGATCTAGAAAAACCGAAGTGAACGGAGAAGTTCATGGAGGTAGGCCTAGGCACACTGGGGCTGTAGTGCTAAAGGAAAAAAAGTAATAATTTTCAGTACTATCTTCTATCCGCTGACAATTTGACCTTCAACGAACTACAAGGCCTTACATCCCAGAATATAGAATTCTTCATAACTGCCGCTGAGAGAACCTCAAATCCTAAATATAACAATTTAAACTGTGGTGCAAGCTTCGACAGAGATAATGATGTTCTCTCTGTGGTTTATTTAACGATTCTGTTAATAATTTTTTCCGCGTGGAGGCAGCTTAGGATACCTCCACCTTAAACTTGCGAGTCGCAGAAGTCGAGGAAAAGGGGACCCGGTGGCTGGGAGTATAACTGGGCCACCCTGTCACTGGGGGACATAGACACAGGGACCTGGTCCTCCAGGTTAGGCGTTGGGCTCAAGGCTGACGACTTTTCTCTGTAAAAAAGAAGTTGCGAAATCCAAAGAAGCGTAAACCAAAATCTGGCAGAATCTTCTAAGGAAGGCCATGGCTCGAAGAGATCTGTTTTGTCGGTGATGATGATGATGATGATCGTCATCATCATAATTAATAACTCAGACTGTCGTCCCATAGTGCGGAATAGAAAGATGTTTAGCGAAAATGAATTGGAAAGGATTGCGAAGGAAGCGTCAGTGACCTAATTTAAGCTACTACCTCTGTATATGGCTAGAGGAACTGAGAAAAACACGATATACGTCAGTCAGGATAGCCTAGTATCCCGACCGGGATTCGAATTGTCACCATCCTAAATAGATGTCATAAACATTACCGCTGTTATTTATAATCTCTTTAAAATGTTTCGGTTTAAATTTATCTTACGTGGATATTGGATGATATAAGTATTTTTGTTTAAAATTCTACATAAATTTCGGCGTGTCAAATTCGTTGCCTTTAACATGAGCTCAGCACTAATATGGCGTTCGACTACAAGCATACATTCACCAAAGAGAAATATAAACTCAGCACATGACAGAACATTGTTTATCCTGGGATTATAGCTGCAATCTGATTTCAAATGCTTTAAGATAGTAATGACAAGGATAAGCTGGCGTTGCTATTGTAGCTATAGCGAAGCTTCATCGCTATCACGGATCTGTGAGCCTTATGGTCTAATACACTGTCAACAGAACGCAAAAATAATTCTTAAGCAAAGTTAATTCCATTCCTGTAAATTACATCAGGGCAACATGTTGTGATCCACCGATAAGGGACGCTGATTAATCAACCGTGTCCAGGTGTAAATTCACTTGATTAACAGTTCCGTATTGCATTTTGTCGTGATGAAATTTTGTAGCTGGTTCCCTTTATCAATTATCGCGGAATTTCTGTTTTTATTTTTTTGGAAAATGTGTGTCAATAGAAAATGACTTTTATTATAAGATTATGAAGTTTTCGTCGTGGCGTATTTTAATTATGATTATTCATAGATATATTTTTACGACACTGAAACCGAGGAAGCCTGCTCAACCGGTAGCTTGTCTCGTTTCTGCTCTAGAGATTCCGTTTCGAATCTCGGCTCGCTCACTTACTCACTCACTAGTGGAGTTGAGCCCTTCTTGAGAAGCCGCCAATTGTGCAGCTACTCAAGAACTTCCCAGCATTTTATGTAACCTGAATGTTCACTACCGTGTTCACAAGAACCCTCCACCGGTCCCTTCCCTGAGCCAGATCAATCAAATCAATATCATCCTATTCTACCTCTCTAATATCCATTTTAATATTGTCCACCCACTTACCCCTTGGTCTAGCGGCCTCCGTAGTCTAGAGGTAATGTTCCCACCTCATGACTCGTAGTACGCGGGTTCAAATACCCGGCGGAGGTCGTCGAATTTTTAAGGGCGGAAAATTTAAGGGAACAAGTCCTCCGGGAGGGACTTTAAGCCGTGGGTCCCGTGTCGTAGCTTTACGGCACGTAAAAGAACCTCATATCTCCTAAGGAGGTCACTGAGCCAAATTACGGACGTTTCCCGCCCAACAGCAGTCTCTAATACCTCTGGTAGATGGGAGAAGCATTATAGATACCTCTCAGCTAGTAGAGCCGGTCTCGCAGGGTGGGCGGGACTGATGGTAAGCACCAGTACCGGTAGGATATAGAGACTGGTAGAATATCATAGAAGGAAGCACAATGGACCACTACAGGTCTAAGTGCATGGGGAAACCCACCCTCTACAATAACTAACTAACTACCCCCTGGTCTTCCAAGTGGTCTCTTTCCATCTGACTTTCCCACCAATATTCTATATGCGTTCCTGTTTCGAATCTCGGCTGGGACACATAGTTATCCTGACTGAGGTTCCAGTTGCTTGCGGCTTCCTTCCAAACCCTATCAATTTCGCAGAATGTGTGCCCATCCACTCTTTCTACTCGGCGCAGCAACCGTAAACAGAAATTCTTTAAAAATAGTTCTGTCTTCTGGAATATAACTCCATGTAGTACGTTGAAAGTCAACTGACGTTTCGGAGGAACAGGGTTCAGGGTCAAAACATAAGCAGAGCTTGCCACCTGGTTTCGCGCTGATTCCTTGCTTGTCTCGTTCTTCGACCCTGAAGTTGGAAGCGATATTTTACTGATCTTCTTGAGCAAGTAATAGTTACTGAGCCTGTTTCTCTCCGGATAAATTACTACGTTCTGCTGAGAACATTCAGGACAGAAATGCGGACATAGCCTAATTATGCAAGTAAACTTCCGCGCATAACTTTCGCACGCGTCGCTGAAACCAAATCTTCGCTCTGAGCTAAACACAAACACAAAACAAACAAACACTCTGTATATAAGATTTGAGGTTTTCAGGGCGGTGATTATGAAGAAAGCAGTTTTCTGGGATGTGCTGCCGTGTAGATATTGTGTTAACCGACGTTTCGGAGGAACGTATCACCTCCATCTTCAGGGTATAAGACTAGTTATCACCTGCTTACGCTGGCTCGCGGATTTTCTTCTTTTTTCTTCTACCCTGAAGATGGAGGCGATACGTTCCTCCGAAACGTCGGTTAACACAATATCTACACGGCGCCACATCCCAGAACACCGCTTTCTTCAAACATAAT